CTGACCCCGAGGACCCTATGGGGGAATTGATGGGATTGTGGGATGAATGGGATTAATGGGATTAATTTGATTAATGGGATGAATGGGATGAATGGGATGAATGGGATTAAGGGATTAAGGGATTAATGGGATTAATGGGATTAATGGGATTAATGGGATTAAGGGATTAATGGGATTAATGGGATTAAGGGATGAATGGGATGAATGGGATTAAGGGATTAATGGGATTAATGGGATTAAGGGATGAATGGGATGAATGGGATCGTGGGATTGTGGGATTATGGGATTGTGGGATTAAGGGATTGTGGGATTAGGGGATAAATGGGATTAATGGGATTGTAGGATTAGGGGATAAATGGGATTATGGGATTGTGGGATTGTGGGATTAATGGGATTAATGGGATTAATGGGATTAATGGGATTAGGGGATTGTGGGATTGTGGGATGAATAGGATGAATGGGATTGTGGGATTGTGGGATTTATGGGATATTGGGATTTATGGGATATTGGGATTTATGGGATTAATGGGATTAGGGGATTGTGGGATTGTGGGATTAAGGGATATTGGGATTTATGGGATTAGGGGATTGTGGGATTGTGGGATGAATGGGATTAATGGGATTAATGGGATTAGGGGATTGTGGGATTATGGGTTGAATAGGATGAATGGGATTGTGGGATTGTGGGATCGTGGGATTGTGGGATTAGGGGATAAATGGGATTATGGGATTGTGGGATTGTAGGATTGTGGGATTAGGGGATTGTGGGATTAGGGGATAAATGGGATTATGGGATTGTAGGATTGTGGGATTAGGGGATTAATGGGATTGTGGGATTAATGGGATTAATGGGATTGATAGGATTAGGGGATTGTGGGATTGTGGGATGAATGGGATCACTGATTAATGGGATTAATGGGATTAGGGGATTAGGGGATTGTGGGATTATGGGATTAGGGGATTGTGGGATGAATGGGATGAATGGGATGAATGGGATGAATGGGATTAGGGGATTGTGGGATTGTAGGATTATGGGATTAATGGGATTAATGGGATCAGGGGATTAATGGGATTAGGGGATTGTGGGAATTATGGGATTAGGGGATTAGGGGAATAAATGGGATTAGGGGAATAAATGGGATTAGGGGATTAATGGGATAAATGGGATCATGGGATTAATGGAACTAGGCGATTAATGGGATTTATGGGATTAGGGGATTAGGAGATTGGGGTTATGGGGTTGTTGTGGGGTTATTGTGGGGTTATGGGGTGGTTGTGGG